CGTAATCACTACGCATGCTCATTCCCGTTTTCATGGATCCCAATCAAATAAATTGCCAATAGAATTCATGGCCCCCACCATCAGCAAACCAAAAAAACTGAGATAAAAAGGTAAGTAAAAACCAGAAAAAAAAAGAATAAAAAAAACCCTAGACTATTCATTAAAAAGCTACTCGCACGCCATTACATCCATTCCAGCTGTGTGCCCTAGTCGCATGGTCTTGCACTGGGATATGCTAATCTTATTAAATATTAAATTGTCTAGCTGAAGTCCTATGGTTAATAAATCAATCTCCCCGACATATGCTACTCATCACTCTATGTTCCATACATGTTTTCTTGTGCCAGACTTAAGCTTTCAGTGATTCCACATCTTCTCCCCAAACTATGGGTTAATTAGTAATATTTATTATTATCTTCAAAAGATCCTGAAAATATATAATGGCTTGAAAAAGGTTGATAAACTGTACATTCAAATATGCTTACAGAATACCCAGTCTCTACACAGAGAAAATTCTTACTCAATTATATTCTGTGATTACTGTTTAAACTATCAATAATTATTTTTTTTTAATTTTAGGTCTCATCTGGACATAGGTGATCACGATTCTCCACAGCTTTCTTTTCTTTTCAGTCTATGTGAAACGCCATGATTTGTTGATAAAGATAGGACGGTGACTTCCCGTTGTCATAGTTTTAAATTTAAAGTTTTGCCGAGGAGGATTAAAAAGATGGATGCCTCTTCTTTTTTTTTTTTCCGGAAACCATTTGTTATAAAGTGTAGGCAACATGTACGAAGCCAGTATTCGAACACGGAGATGACTGCTACTGTACCTACACATTATCTCCGTTACTAAGGTGAATTTTTCCAATGAGCACACGGGAACGGGACTGGGACATGAACTGGTCTGGGAGAGGTGTTTGCTGATTAGAGAAAGCCCCTGGGCGCACTTTATAAATACAGACTCTGAAATAACGTTGGGTCAGAATATATTTGAGTATTTAAAGTAGTAAGTATCAAATCGTGATCCTGTAAAACGTATTGTTACGATGTTCATTTCGCAATAGTGGTATTCAGTCTCCGTCATGTGTACCACACATCTTCTCTTGTGTCGTACAACGCTAAGCTGAAAAAAAAATATCAATAGACGTAATCGATACAAAAACAAAACAAGACTGAAAGAGAAGCGAGGGAAGCCTGCTACTTGCATCGTTAATGGAGCACGTTGACTGTGGTATGCTGGTCGTCAGCGTGCTTTCCCACGTGCCAGCAGTATTGTATCAGGTACCCGTAAGACCTTTGTGCGTTCCTGTGCTGATAAATTCACGATGGGCGTCTACACTTGAGCGATGAATAGCTACTTAAGTAGATGGGTCCACTCGTAAGAAATGTTTTTTTTTTTTTTTTCTTGTCTTCTTAGATTAGAAGTACTTAGGGGCCCTTTAAAATGCGACATATGTTAAAATCGAAAAAAAAAAAAATCTAAAATCATTTTTCGAAGTAAGTGCGGTTTTCTTCATAATATCGATGCAGAGTAAAATCGATTCCTACATTTGTACAGAGTTATCTGAACCTTGCTGTTCTGCTTACGAAAAACAAACCGTTTTTGTTTTAATAGAAAAACCACTTTTCAAAACAAGCAAACACAAACACACGCGGGCACACACACACACACAAACACACACATATATATATATATATATATATATATATATATATATATATATATATATATATATATATATATATATATATATTTTATATATTCTGTTTATTTTATGGATAAACAGAAAATATATTAAAATATTTGTCGGATTAAATCCATTTCATCTAATATATATATATATATATATATATATATATATATATATATATATATATAAATATGGATCCTGTTGTTTGCGACGTATAACGTCTTTCAGTTCATTTTTTATGTTTATATTTCGTAGGAGACAATAAAGACGGAGATTCATATATATATATATATATATATATATTTTCAATTTTCAAAGAAGAGCGATAAAGTTTTTTTATTTTTTTTCTTTTGTTCGTAAAAGTGTTTTTTTCTGTACATAAAGCATGTAAAAACTGTCCAAATGTTCTATCTATCCGAATTCTCTTTCTACTAGACGCTCTGTATATCTTGCCTTGTTCCAGACTAAATATAACTTGGTTTTTGACTAGCCATTTATCGTTTAAGTCTCTTTCTCAATGGTGGTGTATTCCAAACTGCCTAGCGTGTCTGATCGCAGATATCTGTGATGTTTTCTACTATCTGTTATAGGCGGGCGGCTTTCCCCAAAACACGTAAATTTGGTTCGATTCTACCTGAGAGGGCCTCGTAAAAGAATTTATAAAACTTTTTCTTGACATGAAAGCACATTAATGAATCACTATCGATAAGTGATCCTTTCTGTTAATTCTACCAAAAATATTAATTCACCGCAAAATAAAAATAATTTATATTTACTAAAATTCTCACCAAATCCTCACAGAACGAGGTCCTTCGATTTCACACCGGTTGGGTTATCCTTTGCGATCACCCACAAATGTGAGTGCTTTTGCTGTGGGGTCTGCATTCGCGCTCACACCAATAAACAAATAGATATTTCATTTTTTTTTTTTTTTTTTTTTTTTTTTTTTTAAATTCTAAAATTCTTCTAAGGAACTCGAAATGTCATCCGCATTTACGAAATATGAATAACTACCTGAATTTTTGAAATATTTTATTCTGGGTGTTGGAGTTGTTTCGAGGCAAGCTAAACAAATTTTGATTTCAAATTTGGAATTTTTTGGTGTGAATTAATATTTACAATAAGTAACTTTACATTGTTTGCGGTGAATTAATAGAATAGATCCTAGATAAGAAAAAAAAATCCTGCAGACTATAAATTTATTTTGTCAGCCTGAGTTGATACTAAGTACGGTTTCGAACCCAGATAAAAACCGTTATTTGATTTTCTCATTGAATTTTGTTTCGCAAATCAAAATTTGCAGATCATTATTAATAATAACATAAAGCAATTTATAGTTTAAGTATTTACTTTGAACTTAATATTTTAGTTAATTTTTGTCGGAACATTTTAGAGCCGTCAAAACCAGCGTGTAAATAATTAAAAACCTAACTTAAAAAGACAAATTACGGTACTTATTCGATCATTCTGTTGAATCTACACCTTTGGTTACTTGAGAATTTCAACGTAGCACTAGAATGACAAATACCTCTCATAATTCTACTGGTAAAATTGCTAGATAGAACCGTAAGTTCTGTGCTAATAGTTTCTTCTCTCGAATTTCTCGCTTGAGGAACTTTCTTTCGGCTTCTTGCCTTCCTCTTAACTAAGACCTTGAAATATTTAATTGCAACATCAGCCACAATCTTCCGTATTTCGGGTATTTTTATTTCTCTCAATAACGTATTCTCAGATTATTTTACGCTCACAAACCCCTTGAACCTTAGCGAGATTTACCACTTTGCTTGGGGGTGAAACGATTTTTAAAAAAAATTATCCATATGTCGATTTTCAAGAATTCGAATATCCGTCTGTGAAATGAAAATGAAAGTGGAACGTTCGATAGAGATGATAGTGTCTTACATCTATATGTCTTCTGAGTGTTGAATTCTCCAAGTCTTCTTTCCTTATAATGTGTAGCAGAAATCTCAGTTGTCACTTTCGGATTTAAACCATTCTGCTTTTCATTTTCTAGGGTTTCATGATCTGCGCTTTTCTAGTGAACCACTATTCTACTGCTTTAAGCCTCTTATTCATCTGTTAGGCCAGGGAGTCGGCAACCTACGGCACGCGTGCCACAAAATGGCACGCTAAGCAATTTTCAATGGCACGCAGCCGCAAATAACATCACGAAGTCCGAACCAATAACTACTACAACGCAAAGAAGATATTTAGCTGTTTGAATTTCAATATATACTAAAGTGTATATATAATATGCATATAAAATATATTGTAGAAAAGGTATATTAACTTTGGCTTGTATAAAAAAACGTATACTGCTGGCATACAGTTTGATTTTAAAAGCCTAAGTTGGCACATATTTAGTAAACGATTGCCGACCCCTGTGTTAAAAGACTGTACAGTTTTCAGTGCCATATGAGAGATGTGATATCATATAATAGTTCCAAACCAATCCTTTGATTCTAAAGACCTATTCCTATCTCGTAATACTTTGCTTGCCTCCTATATATTACAATTGAGAAAGATATCATGAGAAGAAATGTTTATCAATTCTAATATGTATCTCGGTTTGTCTATCGTCTGTTAAAAGTATTTATTCGATTATCGGTACCCCGATTTTCCGGACTTCAATTATCGACATGACATGAACATTTGTTATCATTACCTGACTGACGAAGCAGCTGGTTTTGTGGATTTTACTTTTCAACACATGTCTGTGTTCATACGCGTTCCGTTTTAGTTGGATACTGATTGGCACCAAATCTTCTGTAATCTACAGCACCTTCCAAAGTATCATTTGCTACACAAGTGACACCTTGGTCAGTATAGCCTAACACTTTCCCCCGATTTAAAATTCGTTTCATCTCACAACTCACGTCAATATTTCTCTGATCTACGTGCAGAGACTCATATAAATATGGTTTCAGCCAGTATACAACTCCGGCAATTGCTTTAGTAGGTTTAAGTACTTTCTGCTTTTTATTTTCTTTCCTCTGCATCCCTTTCCACGCTGATCAAGCCACATCCTTAATTTTAAATATTCTTATATTTGCCAGTACCACCCTCAGTATTCTGTATTTATGTTTTGTAAAATAAAGTGTAGTTGGCTTGCCTATCCTCATGTTCATACTCATCCTCGTTTTTTTTTAACAGGAGGAGAAGTTGCTTAAATCTTCTTCTTTATCTGTGAAACAAAGAAAAGAGTGATGAACTTCTATGTAATATCAATCCTCCTATATGGCAGTGACTGCTGGACAATCTCCTCATGTCTTCCAAAAGCTAAACAAAGTATTAAGAAACAGGAAG